ACACACACACACACACACACACACACACACAAAATTCATATACACAAAAGAGATACCCATCTATAGCTCTAATTCATCCCTTTAACCTCAGAAAGTATTGTCTGTTTACCAGCTATGGCGTGTCCCGGAGTTATTCTCATAATAATCTTGTTCTGCATTTGTAAGGAATTTTCGACCCAGGGGCTACAGTGCACACACATGACAAACACGCACACACACATACACACTGGAAAAAGAAGAAAAATTGCACCGCTATGCAGGGCTTTTCTTTGGGTGTGTTACAGTCAGACAGTGGATGGGGATTTCCTCAAGGAAAGCAGGATGAGCTTTTATGGCTGTTCTCATGACTCACCTGACCCCCCCCCCCCCCCCCCCCCCCCCCCTCTCTGTTTTTCCTGCCCACTCCTCCCTTTTTCCCCCAACACCTCCTCCATCTCGTTCTGCCATTGACCATCATCCCGTTCACCTCTTAACCTAGTTTCATCCTCTGGCAGCTGAGGTCTTCCGATTGTCGGTGTCAACACCTGGGCTTTGTAGAGATGCCTTTTGGTGAGGCAGAGGTTGATGTTAAGGACAGAGGGCTGTGAAACAGTCAGTCTATGCTGCCATCTCACTGGCTGCCTGTCAATGTGAATCTGTCCTTTTATCATTGGTTAATCCACATGTCTGCACGCCTTTATGTTTTAATTATGTGTGTGCTTGTCTGTTATGTTGTTACACTGATCCACAGCGAGACATGAGCAGACATGTGTGTGTCTGACATAGCCGTGTCTAAATGCACCATATGGACGTTCCCTGTGGACTCCCCCATCAGATACATAAGGGACACACGCTGAAAGTCACTCTAACAAAGTGTGTGTGTGCTTGTGTATGCGTGGTAGTGATGGGAACATACCTTAACCTCCCTTCCTCTCATTGCTCGCTCTCCTGTCAGGTCTCTGGGCCTGTACGTCCGCGGCATAGAGGAGGACAGTCGCTCACGAAAGGAGGGCTTGTTTCAAGAGGACGAGTGCATCGTGATGATCAACGGCACCGACCTCATGGACAAGACATTCAGCCAGTGAGTGCAGCGGTGTGTGTGTGTGTGTGTGTGTGTGTGTGTGTGTGTGTGTGTGTGTGTGTGTGTTGGGTCTAAAGGGTGAAGTAATGCCACTGAGGTGAGTCTGATCACTGCAAACACACGTCCCATGAGGGTGAGAGCACAAAACAAATGTGCCTAATATTTCTATAACATAGTGCTGGAAATTTCTGAATAATATAAATACAAATGTATTCTTATGTGATCAGAAACAGTTCATTTTTGATCACTACAATATACAGTTCATTACAATATAACATTAATGTAATATTCACACCATTACAGTATATGTTCAATTAATGATTTTAGGTTCCACCCAAGTCGAAAACAAACAAAACAGAATGAAAAAACAAAAAGAGCTTCAGTTGTGCCTATAGACATTCAGCACATTTTGGTTTTATTTGCCCTCATTTTGACACGTTTGTCTCTCGGATTTTTGACTGTCTCCACCCAAATTCAATAAAGTCGAATGAGACAAGTGATTGATTGACAGGCCTCTATAAAGTCACTCCCTATCGAGTGCTTTCATTTTTTCCCCGTGGTCGAGCTGGGTCTTTTGTTCTAGAATCACAAATCCAGGTCCAGAAAAGTCTCTTTTCACCGGTGGCGCTGAGTGCGCTTCATTTCGGCGTCGGGGATGGCGACAGATTCCACTGGTTATGCTTGATAATTAATTAAAAAAATTTATTTCAGATTTCTACGGAAAAAAACAAAAAAATATTTTAGTTCTCACCTGCTGACCGCCCGCCTTTTCTTCATTTTCGCCTGTTCACAGGAATTTTAAATAGCTATTTTACCTATTTACCCAACAGTACTCGACCCGCTGCAGGACTCAGACTCCACTTCTTTGCTGTCGGTGAACCAGTTGAGCTGTTAGAATGCAAATGTGTTCTTTTTAATTTAAATACAAGTAAATAAAACATTGAATAAAAAGACATGTCCCTTACATAACATTATCTGAAGGAAAAAACACGGAGCCCTCAGTGTATTTATGAGGAGATGCATTTCATATGTAAAACCTTTTGAAGTCTGTTCTGGCCCGTCTGTGTCTTGTTTCCCTTTCCATTGTCAGAGGGTTTATATCGCTGTTGCTCTGCCATCACAGAGAACAACAGAAAAGACACTTGGCAGATGTTTGGAGAGCCTCGCTTCCAAATTCATCTCTGTGTGTGTGTTCACGTCATTCTTCTGAGGAAAGATTTGTTCCAGATTCATTGGAGACCAGATGTTTCAAAGTGGTTTGCTTAATGTACCCCTGAAGCACATTAACACGAGAGTATTTGAGGATGTAACGTGATTATAGAGCATTTAAATGACAAAAGACACACCTGTAAAAACGATCTGACACACAGATTACAAGGCCTGATGCGGATGTTATAATGATTACAGCACATTACAATGTCTATACCGTCCACACACTAGTCCTTGTCCAGCATTCAGGGTGGTAATGAGATTATATGAGAGGTGTTTTCATGCTGTAGTGTAGGTAAATGGATTATCACCGGAGGGGTTTGCACCTATTGTTCAAAGAAAGGGTCTCTAACAAACACACACACACACACACACACCTCTGTCATCGTCTTTGGCCTGTACACACTCAACTTAAAACACATATCCATGTGCATGTGAACAAATGAAGACACATTTCAAGATGAATGAAGCAACTAGTGCTTCATTTTTGCATGTGACGCAGCCAGGCCTTCTCTTAACACAGACACTTTCTGAGTGTGATCTTACACACACACACACACACACACTCACACTCACACTCTTGCCAGTATTGTCTTGTCATGGCAGGTGTATTGAGATGTGGAGCTTGGTCCAGGGAAATATGTTTAAGTAGGCCACTGAAAGTCCACTGATCCCTATGAGTGCTAGGTCCACACACACACACACACACACACACACACACGCCTCCATTGTCCCAGCTTGGCGACTGTGTTGAGGTAGCCTGCTTGATTAGAATATCTCTTTTACACAAATGGGCCTCCACACATTGTCCAATCAGGAACAATGATGATAATATCTGAGCACAATGGACCCTACATACACAGCAACACACACAGCGTTCACATCTAGTTTCATTGCACTGTATTGTTGTCTTATTACAATGAGAATCCCTACAAAGTGTCATTCAGCATGGTGTGGCGCATCACCAGCACTTGATTAGACAGCCTAGTGTGTTAAGTGGTTTCAGTATGTAAATCCTTAAACACACACTTAGGAACCATTCTCACGTGGTGCATTATTCACAGTTTCATTTGTAATGGATTTACATACGGAATGATATCAATGAGTCAGTACTCTGATCACTGATTATTTGTGTTCACAAACGAGTCATTTTGACCTCTGCATTAATCATTCGCTGTACAGTTTGTCTCCTCATGGAGTTTGGTGCATTAAGGTACAATTGAGCTTCTGTTATCTCCACCTCTTAGACACCCAAGATACAGTTTCATGTCCGCAAGTGTAGCTTAAGTAAACAAGAAAAGTGTAAGTAAGACTTGCAGGTACATTCAATTGGAACAGTGCTGAATGACAATATCTATAATGCACAATATATACAAGGCAAATTCAACTGGTCGGACTCGTTAATATACTTTACATACAAAAAATGTATTTCCTGTTATGATGCATCGATTGATTGATTGAGCTTTGTCCCCACAAGTCTTCCTGTTATATTAATATAACATTTTAAAGTATTATTACCGCTTGTATAATGTATTTAAAGTTTCAACGAGTATATTCTTCCTACATGGCTTTCTAAACATACCGTAGTCTCTAGTTACAGAAACTTAATGGTCATTACGCATCTAATAATAATCGAGGCGGGAAATAATAGGAGCGTAATCCAATAGAATTTAAATAAACCGGATTTTCTCTGTCTGTTATCTGAGGTGAATGATGGTTTGTGCCAATCCCCTCTGACACAACGGTCCCCCTAATTTACTTAGCATAATCTGATATGAACTAATTCTCTGCAAAATGATCTCTCCTGTAGATTATGAGATTATCATGTCCTGCTGCACAGGTGTCATTGTTCTGTGTTGCATCTCCTGTTTAGTTCAGCCTGCAGTTCATCTCGTACACAGGGACAGGCCCAGTGACCCACCAGAGAAAACCACTGACCAGTGGGAAACGGAAAGAAACAGATTGATAGATGAATTTAATGCAGCCGAGAATAATGAACTACAGTTAACAAATTATCATATATCCCAATCTTACATCCATGTTTTATTTATTTAACGACGGCTAATTTGATTTGATTTGATGTTTTTTCTTTATTATCACTTTTCTCTTGACTCTGTCTTGCATCACAAAGCATAAATAGTTTCACATCCGAGATTTAAAAGAAGAAAAACAGACATTCTGTCCGACTGAGAACTCAAACTCAACAAGATATGTGGTTAGAGGAAGTCGACGGCCGGATGTTAGCCTATCAAACACGAGGATTCACTGCTGTTCTGTGTTTCAAATCATTGTTCATTTAAGAGACTAGATAATCAATTGGAGTCATTTTAAAAGTAGTCGTTAGTTACAGTGATCCTCATCGGTCTTGGAATTGACAATCAAACACAATCAGTTTAATAAAGATATATGAGCCCAACATATGTTATGGTGAATTACAATTTTTGAAAAACCGACACCTCATTTATAATAATAAGCAATTAACTGGATTTTTTTATTACCAATCATTCATTATAAGATTCATTCCATGAATATTTAATTATTATTTGTCTCTTAAGTGGGTTATATATCATTTGATAATTAACTTGCTTGTTAGAGATTGATAACTGTATGTAATTATTAGTTTTAATGGTACATGCGTGTCATATACACTACACATATACACAAACTTTATTTAAAACTCCTGCCACTTGTTGAGCAAGTCTTTTTTAATACTGTTTCCCCTCTTCCTCTCCACCAATCACTCACCTCTCTCTCTCTTCCTCTCTCTCTCTCTCAGAGCCCAGGAAGTGTTCCGTCAGGCAATGCGCTCCCCGGTTGTCCGCTTGGAAGTAGTTCCCTCCGTCAACAGACAACGCTATGAGAAGAGTCTGATTGGTCAGCTTTTGGGCAACAGCGCCGGTCCCGACAGCAGCCCCCGAGTCGCCAAGACCAAAGAGCCACCTCCACCCGTCAAAGCCAAGCCCGCGTTCAAGCCCGCGTTCAAGCCCCCTGAGAATCCACCCACGCGATTGGCCGAGGGCGCTGCCTCCACGGAAGCTGCTGTTAATGTGAGTTGCTCTGCATACATTTCCCCAGCCTTCCTCCTTCCAACAACTTGGAGGTTTTTATGAACTCAAATCTAAAGTTATTTGACGTTATCAAATGTCATGATTTTAAGTTCTTGTTACTCTCTGCACATACTGTATCTACTGTACAGCCACATTATGTTGGGTTGTCTCTTTTCTCAGAGCTATCAAGTCTTTCCGATTCAAACACATGCAATTGTGCCGTCAGTATCACCATGGTGACACGGCTGACATTTCTAAAAACAGCTGCCGCGGTGGAAACAGTTACTTAGCAACAGATGATTTTCACTTTATTTTATTGGAAAACAAATCTGTTCATCTGTGATTCTGCAGTAACGACATTGGAGCGAGGTTTCATAAACTTCTGGCACACTTTATTCATACATAATGTTCAGGTTTAAGTTGATGACATTATACGAGCAGTCATTTTCACTTTTTATATATCGTCCGTTTTTGTCTTTATTATCTGCACAACGCCTACATGACATTGAAAATGACTTCTAGGTTGTCACTTGTGCGTGATAAGCTATTATTTTAGCAAATATAACCTCAATCAAAGTTTGTTTAAATGTCTTATGAAAAGAAGAACCCAAATCAACAGCTCACAGAGTCCAGAAGTTCCAGAAGTAGAATGTAAAAAATGGGGCAAATGGGGCATTTAAAATGTTAATGTTAATCTTCTCTTGTAGCCGTACTTTTTAATGTGTTTTAGTGCTTTAAAATGTACTTTAATGCTCCACATTCTCCGCCTAGACACCCAAGGGGAGGAGTGAGAGCCCCCTCCTCAAGAAAAGTCCTGCCCTCTCCAGCCTGGTGACCAATAAGAGAGGAGGACGAAGGTTGAGGATCGATCTCAAGAAAGGTGAGCAACACTTGGCTACACATAGGGATGTATCGATACTAGTATACGAGTTATTTCGGAGACTATTTTGTCGTTACTTGGATCGCCCGAAGGTGTCAGAAATGTGCCGCCATGATGTCAGTACTGTGTAAGATCTGTTTTAGAGATTCAGGTGGAACTAAAACACAGTTTCTAGTCACATCTGTCCGTGTTATCTCTATATATTTGTTTCACTTTACTCACACAGTCCCTCAGAAGCTTTCTGAAAGTACGTCATTGACCCTCTTTATTTCCTGCCGTTTTCTGAAAGTATATTATTAACCCACTTTATTTCTTCTGCTGTTCGTCCGGCATTGTGCTTTTTTTTCGATGAAGCTTCCTTTCTCTGTTCTCTGGCCGGCTCTCCTTCCTCTCACCCTTCCTCTCTCCATCTTCCTGATTCCCTCTCTTCAGGGTCTATTAAGTCTTTATTGATCTGTTCATTTCTGCTGATATGAATTCATACTGGACCAAACTGCTGACTTGGCTCTGCTAAAGAGACCAGACCAAATGAGGTCTATAAAACACACAACTAGTCTCTGACCGTCCGTGTGTGGTCTTTTTTTTTTGTACATGCATGCATGTTTGTGAGCGCTTTCACGCTCATTTTAATGTGTGTGTGTGCGCGCGCACGTGTTTTTCACTGATTACTATTTTAATCTTCATCGCGTCTCTTTCCAGAACATTCACTCCATCTTTCCGCTGTGTTACACTCATTCCTCTTCTTTGCTTTTCCTCGTCTCTTTCTCAATTTCATTCCCCCCTCTCTGCCCCACACCTGAACCCATCTTTAAAACCTTCACACCTGCAGATACTCCAGCACCAGCAATAGCTAAAGGGTTTAAAGCGACACGCACACACACACACACACACACACACACACACCAAAAACATCTCCAAAGGCTTTAAGTTATAATACTTACAATATGTAGTCAGGAGCTGAGTCAACAACACTGTGTTGAAGTTTTCAGGTGTACTTCAGGATGTGTGTGTGGGAGGATGGATAGGAGATTCTTTTTTCACTCTCAAAGCCTGTGAAAGACAAATATAGAGGCCGGGAGTAAACAGCTATGGATATTTGTGTGTCGATACAGGAGTGTTACTTCTGCTTGCATATTGTACCTCACCTCTCTATTCTTTCTCACATGTCTTTGTGTGTGTGTTTGTATATCTGCGTGTGTGTGTGTGTGTGTGTGTGTGTGTCTAGGCTCAGAAGGTCTTGGCTTTACCGTAGTAACCAGAGATTCTTCAGTCCACGGCCCCGGTCCTATTCTCGTCAAAAACATTCTGGCACGAGGAGCTGCTGTCAAAGATGGACGCCTGCAGTCTGGAGACCGCATACTTGAGGTACAGAGCAGCTGACTGTTGTAACATTCATGCAGTCATTTAAAAAATAACGACATATGCCTGTGTTGTTCTTCTACCTAAGATGTGATGTGCATTGAAGACAAAGTTAGAACTGAGGAGGTTAGTGTAGTGGAGGCGAGGAAACATGGTAGTTCCGCTGCTAATGGTGGTGTCTCTGCAGGTCAACGGTGTGGATATCACAGGTGTGGGCCAGGAGGAGCTGGTGTCCATGCTGCGCAGGACGCGGCAGGGAGAGAGCGTGTGTCTGGTGGTCCTACGGCAGGAAGACATGTTCCTGCCCCGAGAGATGGTAAGAACCAATCACAACGCTGTATCCTCAGCCAATGAAACAACATGTTCGAGTCGATTTGCAGGTCTGGTTTCTTTTTCATTCTTCTGACAAGGCAGACGGCCCACAGCTACATCACCAGTTTTTTCACTCGTTCAAATTACCGCTCTCTTTTCAGCTCCTTTTAATTTTGCCATGTTTTGGTCCAATCAACAGGCTTGCCTGGAAGATGCTCAGCCCAGCAGCCTATAGGAAGGCTTCTTGTTTTAGACATTGAACCCACATGTAATTGAGGATTTTTTTTTTTTTGGAATAATGAGATGTTCTCTCTTACAAAGCAATCATGTAATACTTAGTTTTATATAACTCTATTCTGATTGAATCAAATGAGCCCATTGTGAAGCTTTATGTTGATTGTGGCAACATTTTCTGCCAGTCTTTCCTTGGCACATTGTTTTTGCTGAATTTCAACACTGTTTTGATTAATAAACACTTATTTTATTCTTCTTCGTTCTATTTTTCCATCCTTTTACTTCCAATCTGACTCTGCATGATCCATTACTATGCATGCCCAGGTGCTAATTAAGCTCTTTATCCCCCTTTCCTTAAATATGTTATTCTCTCAGGCAGTGGTTCCCAAAGTAGATGCCACGGCTCCCTGGGGTGCAAGATTTATCACATCATTATACAGTTACTGTGGGGTTTTAATAACAGTTAACCACATTGAAAAAATACGTTAAATACATTTTATGTTAGGTTATTTCAAAGCAGCTGACATTAAGGCTTGTGGTTGCATGTATTGCGTGCATATGCACGTTATATTGGGAGTTCCATGACAAAAAAAGACAAACATCATTAGAAGGGGTGCCACTGAGTTTGGAAACCACTGCTCTCAGGTCACTTTCTATTATATCCGTACTGTCATCACAGCTGTTTTGGTGTTGACTTTCACTTTTCCCTACTAATGTGAGGCATCACTTTGCTGTGTGTAGCCACGCCTGCACAAGCGGAGTAACCATTTTTCATTTGGTTCCGTCTCCTCTCAACCCATCACTCATGTCTTTGGTTTGTTTTTCCCCACCTCTCAATGTATTTCACTCTTTTCATGTTGCTTTTTGGGCCTCTTTCCCCTTTGTGTGTCTTTCCGCTCTTATCGACCGATGTTTCCTCAATGGCTGCCAGGAAGTCACACACAAGCACGTGCACACACACGCGCGTGCACGCGACCCTGAGCCCCATAGGAAATTCTGTTTCTGCAGACAGGAAAAGGAAGAATGGTTTGGCGTGTGTTAACATATTAAATCACTCGTGAGTGTTGTATCTTGTCCAGAGCTTCTCCATGTTCGCATGTTTGAACTCTTCTTTGTGTACTGGCCAAGTACTGCTGAATACCTCCGGTCGTCACACTGTTACATGTGTCCACTCAAAAGCTCTCCACTACAGCAGTACTCCTGGTACTTCTCTACTTCTGTGGGGTTCTTTTGCCTGACTAATCATTGGAAAATCCTGCACTTAGTTGCTGCTGCGCATACATGTTACTGTGTTTCATGAAGGATTTTGCAAATAGCCTATATGGCTGATACTGATCACTTATTATAAGATCGACCTCCTGAACAGCTCGCAATCAGCTGGTTGTTGTGTTGTTGTTGTGGTTGTGTTTGCTTTCAGACCATAAACGGTGTATGAGACTCTCCTTAACAGGCGCTCTTCGTCAAGTCGTTTTGTCCAAACCGTAGTTTGATTGACAGGTTGACCAGCACAAAGGAACCGCACTAAAAAGTGAACGCAGCTCGGTTAGTTTTTATCGAACTGAACATGTTCGGTGTTAAATCATTCATCATATTCATTTTACCCTGACTTCTTTAAGTCACACAGGATTTAGCCAAGTACAAAATGTTTAACTTTGGGGCGGTTTCCGTGCAACTTCACCACACGGGTACAAGACCAGAATATCACTCACACAGTGAGGAAACAGTATTATTCATACACACGCTCACTCAGTTCACCACGGGGGAAATAAATTTCTGAGTATTGTCCTTCTGCATAGAGAACTACGCCAACATGTCTCCCAATGGTGAAGTATTGTCTCTGTCTATTTTAAGGGCTGCTTAAACCAACCAACGATTCAAGGACACTGCTGGTGTTTGTGGATCTGTGCCTGCAATTGTATATGGTGTGTGTGTGTGTGTGTGTGTGTGTGTGTGTGTGTGTGTGTGTGTG